TTTGCTAGCTTTGCATAATAAATATCACAAAACACAAAGAGCACATTTACACTTAATTGCACGACGCATCTTGGGCCAATTGCATAGCTATCCAAAGACGTAATAGATTGAAATTTGATAATACATGTTAAAAAGAGAGGTGTATATGTATGTCTCTCCAAGACGCATAGGTACAGGTACGTAAGCTTTACTCCTCTCAAGTGTTACTTCGTCCTTAACAGTAAGCAGTCTGTTAAAATAGCCTCTAGCAGGGTCTGTTCCTATATGGCATGTCATTATGATTTGTCATAAAATGACAGCATTTAGCGCTAATCTGATTCCCCAATCAGTGGATCCACCCAAGCTTTTTGCAACTCCATGATGGGCTTTAAAACCACAAAAGGAGTGCAAAAAGTACATAAAACATGTCCTCCATCTGATTTCATTGAGACTGCGTTTCCACTATCATACCAAAACTACTTTTTTTTCAAATATTGACTGGGTACAGGGCTGCTGTTAGACCTAGAATAACAAAGATACTCAAATTTACTTCTTGACACATCACTGACTTGTTCTAATGTGCTGAATACATTGTGAGTAATATCTAGGAAAACATCAGCTGAACCCATGTTGAATGCTTAGAGCAAAAATATGATAATTGATGCTGGTTCTAGGTTAAAATATATCAAGCCCCCAGGGCTAATCTTTTAAATATTGTTGCTGTGACTTGCAAATAGAACTGAATAATTGGTCAAAGTCAGAATACAAAGTCAGAATACATTTGCAGAATTGTAGACAGAAGGGGCTGCGTATTGGCTGTACACAAAATCCAAAACCTTATCGTGATGAGCGTCTTGTTAAGGCCCTTACGATTGGATTTTTTGTTGCCAGTAAATCTGTGGCATTCAGTGTTGCTTTGTTCTTTCTCCTTATTAGAAACGCTACAATTTCTATAAGAATCTCTAAGGATGTTAAAGGGTGTATTTTTCCCTGGCCATCAATGTATTTAAATGTTTTTCTGTTCAACAGCTTAATATGCACATTCTGGGCAAGACCACGATTAATGAAATATTAATTAATTAGATGACTGACAGGAATTCTTAAGTAGCAATAAAAGAAAGATTTACATTATTTAGCTCAACATTTTTCCAAATGCCACACTGTCATGGTGGTCATTATGTTTTATTCCTTGTTTGTATCTTAACAAGGCCATTCCAGGACCCTAAAAGTTTCTAATTACAAGTTAGTTATTTTCTCCACAATAAAAGTGCTCCTCAAGTCTGATAATGTAGATAGAAGGGAAATGCAACATGCTATGAACATGGATCAATGAGTAGATTTGTACTGAAAGTCTGTAACTTATCCAGCTAGTCTACACGCCTGTCAACCTCCACCACATTCACACACACACAGTCCATGCAGTTGGACCGCCTCTCTTATAAATCTTCACTCATTAATCATTTAGAGGAAGCAATTTGTGGAGCACCTGTCCCAAGCAGAGGGCCATTAGGTTTTTCAATGGAGGGAGCACTGTGGGTCTAATGGCCTTTCAGTGGAACTTATTGGAAGACGTATTGGATTCTGTGCTACATACAGCCACTAGCTTTAAGATAGTGGGTGCTGAAGCAAAGCTCACAGTTTTAAATGCTGCAGTAGGGAGAAAACTACAAATAGCCACCATAGTTACATAGCTTTACAGATTAAATCAGGTAATTAGTAAATTCATTGTTATGAAATGTAGATTTAATTTTCAGAAATCAAGTTAAATCCATCCATTCATCTATCTAGCCATCCTCTACCTGCTAATACCTGTTTACTCCCACCATTAAAACTTCCAGTCACCAGAAAAATACTTCAACTGCCACGTTCTCTTCAAAGAACCAAAGCTTACACAGAGATCTGAATTTCAAATATATCCTATTCAGTCTGTCAGTAATAATTCCAGTAAACATGATCACAGCGAGCAACTGTTCAGTAACTCATGATGGATGCAGCTTTTTTGCACTGAATAGAACAAGTAACAACTCATCACAGGCCTCATCATCAGGTGAAGGGCATTTTGTCAATATTTAAAAAAAAAAGTGCTTGTTATTCATTGCTTCCAATACAACGGCCACATTACTTGCTCACATTCTCATTACAAATTCTGTCGTTCTCCTCAGAGGATTATCCACCTGGTGCAGTTGTCCGTCACTCTGGCTGCACTGCAAAGCCAAGGGGAAGCCTTGGGGAATGCTACGGCCCCGCATCTGTGTACACCGTACAGTATCAGCCTGAGCAAGGACAAGACCCATCAATATTACTCTGTCATCTTATCTGATAGAGACAAGTCCACTGCTGAATCACCAACCTCAGAATGGGCTCTATGTTTTGTAATACACTTCACTTCACTCTCCTCTATGAATATGAATGGCCTCTACACTCCTCCGAACTAACTTCTCTACGACTTTGTGGGATATAAAAGTTGTGGCTGCCACAAACAAAAGCAAGTAAACTCTCTAAAAGTTTGTAACATTCAGTAGGAGAGCAAGTTTAACATGTAATCAAATGAATACTAAATGTTCACTATATACTATAGATATGATACAGTAGACCAAGATTCTTAACTATGCTGAGCTGATACTAGAAAGTATTTGGATCTGTATTTTATAGCATTACAAAGCAATAAATGACAAAAAAAATTGTGCTAAAAATTGTGCAGCCTACAGGCTGTTGTATATATATTCAACATCAAAAGGTCTGCCAGGCAGATTTATGGATACAGACACAAAACAGAATCCAACAGAATCCTGGTACACTCACCCATGACCCTTGTTAACTGCATGTGGGAAGATAGGGAATAGGAAAGTGCAACCATTGTACTGTAAGGTAAAATACAACTGTGGGTCATAGTACAAATACCATACAAGACAAATGTGTTTTATTTTGCTTTCAGCTTGCCTTCCTAATGTCTGCTTTCCATGATTAACAGCTTTCTGTCCCCAACTTTTCACTCCCATCAAGTTGTCATTTACCAGGACGATGGAGGAGTTGCTCCGCACACCCAACTTTGTGAAATTCAGCCCCCCTCCCCCAGTCATTCATCTCCTTTCTCGTTAAGCACTATTAATTGTCCACACATGTATCATGGGGCGTTGTTCCTTAATTCACATCCTGTGCCCATTAGGTCCCATCAACCATCTCTAGACAAATGGCCACCCATTAGACAGCTCAGTTTTCTAATGAGAGACATTTGTATGTGTGGCTAGCATTACAAACAACTCTGGGATGTAACGCTCACATTTTTCATTTCTCCCCCCTCAACAGATTGAGTTACTCTGGTGATGTGCCATCTGCAACTTTCAACTGTACCATAAGTAGCCTACAGTTTGTAGTAAATCATAAACATTATTTATGAACTTTCATACACAAAATGCAGCTCAAAATACTATCTGACTGTAGTTTCAACAATAGGACAATATTAACATCCTTTTGTATACCTATAATCCTTTCCATTCAGTACCCATTCTGTAATATATTTTAAACCAGTCTATGTACTGTATATGATTAGATTTGTATTATTATTGTGTCATGGATAAATAAAATGTACAGCCCAACAGGCTTACAAGACACCATTATTTAGAAAAAGAGACCAGAAACCACAGTAGCAACATGCATTTAGAATAATATTAAACAAAGCTTATAGTAACTTGTGTTCGAGATCCTTCTTTCAAACGTGATTCATTTAAAAGTGGAAAAATAGATCCACCATTCAATCTCATTATATGGCTGTTAAATGGACAGTTCAGATTGTTGTGATGTATGGTGGTGTGAGTTATTCACCAATATAGATGCATGGATGTTAAATACAAATTCAAGGCTGCACTTATGCCGTGCTACTTATGTAGGCTTGCTTGATGGGCCTTGAATTACCCTGAACTATTTGCATAACATAGGCACTACTTCAAAAACAAAACACACTGTGCACTAAAACTGTGGTGGAACAAAGGGAAACCTTAGCCCATCTTTATCAGTATACTCTGCACCACCAATGCCATTACTGCTTGCCTGCCTGCTGAGGTTTACCTCTGCTTTGTTTTTGAGGTACGGCATTTACAGTGAATTGTATATCTTGTCCACAACAAACCCACATCTACCTAAACAGGACACAGAAGAAGCATATGTTTAAAAAGTAACACTTCCATACAGAATCTACATCAAAAGTTATATCATATACAGGTGCTACCATAACACAGCTTTACAACAACTCTGCCTCTGATAGGCTAATAGGCTACTTGGGCCTCCATTGGTTAGGGCGGTTAATGCAAACATCTCTGGTTAAGGTCAGGCCATAGAATGTATAAAACAAGTTTAGGCCAGTAGAGGGTAGGGCCATGGTGGAGGACCTAGGACTAGGAAATGACACAAAAGGTGCGTTCGAGATGACTGCGGCTGACTTCTACTGACTTGATAGTCGAACGTGAGCTGCAGGTGACTGCAGGGGCGGGGTTTAAAAACGGCGCTGTCTAGTCGGACTTATTTTACCTGCATGAGCTTACTGTGAGCTGAGAGCAATGACTGATCTTGCCGTGTTTGCAAAGAAAAATGCAGCGAGACCAGGCAATAGTCTGGTTCCAATGTGGTGCAGCTGGAGCAAAGCAGCTGCGGCCGTCGGTGTTCTGACGATCTATGCTGCCTTGTCGAAAAATGCTACCGTAGCACAAATCGACACCTTATGTGTTTTTTAATGTCATGTGATATGATGACGTTTTGCAGCGCAGGTGAAAGACTTTTTTCGTTTTTTTCAACGTGTGTGTGTGTGGGGGGGGTGCCTTGAATACCTGCTGTCTTGCCTTTCTAACACTGTTGTGTTTACAAACTTGTGGCAGCTGATTGGTTAACACCTGAGACACGCCCACCAAACGGGAGAAAACGTAAATCGAAGCCCGTTGCAAGGAAACATGTCGTTCAATCCGAAAATGTTGCAAAACGTTTTGAGATTGAACTCACCCCCTGACACACAGCTACTTCCGGCTTCCGGTTTACTGTTTCCGCTGGGAAAGCCGATTTGCTTAGGCTACCGTGATATTTACCCCTCTTACCTAAATCTAACAAAGACTACGAACCAGATGCAGAGTATGGCGGATCATGACTGAAAAATACGTGGGCAACTTTATGAGGGAGTGCGGACGTGAGCGGGAGAGCAACAGTAGTAGGTGGCGGTAATGCGCTGGTTGCCACCAGGTTGCCACCCGCCGTACAAACAAGAAGAAGAAGCAACAAACCGAGATAGTTAATAAACGTTCAGTTGTTGTTAAAATGAGTTCAGGTTCAACTTGTGCCGTTGTTGGTTGCTACAACAATTCAAGGAAATTGAAGGTTTTTTCACAAACGTTGTGTTTACAACACCAGAAACTTCGACAAGATTGTCCGTGCCCCATGCCGTACTCTTTGCATTCAATGCCGAAGAAGGAGGCGCGGAGACGGTCGTGGCTTGCAGCTTTGAGATTAAAATACCCTCCCAAAAGAGTGTATGTTGCTCTTATCACTTTGTCGAGAAGAGGCCCACAGAACTGCACCCCGACCCGGAGCTGTACCTGGGCGACGACCTACCTCCCCCGAAGAGGAGGCGAAAGGTAATGTTAGACCGTGCGAGAGCGACCCAGACTGCTAAATCCACAGGCAACTTTAAGTATCATGGTAAGTTGAACTGCAGTGCATGTTCCCTGTTTTACGCAGCAAATCATATGTTGGCATATTGCTTTTCCAGCACATAACGTTACGTTATATGATGATGAACGTTAGCCATTGGATATCTTTTAATACCCCACACAGAATCACGAGTAGCATAGTTAATAACGACGTTACTAACAAGTAGTGAATAATTCCAAATGGAGGATTTACGTTTGTGAACTGACTGATACACAATTTTAATGAGTCATCAGGTAACCATAATGAATAGACATACTGACCAGGTTCTTCATGAGTTAGTTCCTGATTCTTCCCTCACTATTCCTGAGTAATTACTCACAATGGCGTGTACCTTATTCTAAGCATTTATTAACTATTGTTACATTTAGTTGTATTAATTAGTATGAGCAGGCTGAATGTTTTTTTAGAGGTACACCTAAGTAGTCATTTATCTCCTGAAATTGCAAATCTATTGCAATATTACATTTTGTATACTGTCCTAAAACTGCATGTCACCTAGTCTGGTACTGCATGAATACAATCTAATAATCAACCCTAGTCTCAAATTTCAAACCAAAGCAGCACAAGGGTTTGATTACATAAACTTCAATGTGTGTATCCAGTGATAACACGTGCAAACAATAGGGCTGCGCCATTTGGAGCAAATGTCATATTGCTATTATTGTGGACAATATTGCTATTTGTGATTGCAGTTCGATTATAATGGAGCAAATGAGTCTACTTGCTTGATTATCAATGAAAATGCACAAAATACTGACATTTTGAAATGTGTATTTCTCAACTTGAACAATGTTAAATGATAAACAATATTTATAACAAAACCTTTAGTAAAACAGAACAAGGGGAGTGTGATGCTCTTAGGAGGAGGTGGCTAGAAGGAGCACATATTGGCACACTGGCATCCTGACTCTGGCTAAATCTACATCTGTCCACTACAGAGACACTGCCCACAACCTGGAGTAGGAGCTAGTGTAAATGAGTGTATTAGTATGATATTATAACATTAAATAAAGAGTATAATGTTCAGTTCATAGTAGGGCTGGACAATAAAACAATAATGATAATTATCGTAATATAATTTTCCTCAATAACAATATAACAAATGTCCAATATATCGTCAATAAATATTTGATTGAATTTATTTGAATCACAAACAAATTAGCACAAAAAATTTATATTAAGATATTTATTTTGTTGAGGAAAAGGGACTGAAAATATTTAATGATCAAAGTTGTTGAACAAAGATTTTTAGCATAATTGTTTTGAATGTTCTACCTCAGATTTTGAAGTGATCCATTGTTTAACCGCACAATTAACCATCTGGTTTCTTCAATTTTCATTCAGGAGCAAAAATCAGCCTTTAAACTTGAAAGTAATAATGATATTGAATGTTGTGAAATGCTTTTATCCTGATAACATTTTTGGCCGTATTGCCTTGCCCTAGTTAATAGCATACTGTTAGTATAACGTTAATCTATTAATTGCTATATTCATTATAATTGCATATAATAGTATACTATTTTACCACTAGTTGAATATTAAATCCAGTTATAGCTGTTTCATGTCTGTGGGTTGTTTTAAAATTTATTAAATCCTTGTGCAAGCAAAATTATCTATATTTGTCTCTAATTTGTTAATGCTAAGTACTAACTTCTCAGTAATCATATTTTTCAACATTTGAAAGTTTGCTATAGTACGTCAGACTTTTTTTAATGTCCCATCCAGGCTGTGGTTGGTCGGTTGACGAAAAGTGACAGCTCATGAAGCACATCGGCTTTATGAGAAGTTGAAAAACAAATGTTAAATGGCCAACGAGTCAAACCCTAACCTTCTTTATCTTCTCCATGTTTTCGTCTTACCGCTTCAGCTGCCAACGACACGTCTCTGTCTCTGTCACAGAGCGACTGGCCGACTATGTTTTGAACAATTAGCGGCGGGCGGGGGGTTACGACAGTTTGTTATCTTTAATGTTACACGCACATTGCTCATAAATTACTTTTTCTGGTTCATACTTATCTGTTTTAGGAGCATTGTGGGGGGAGATGATGAGCAGACTGCAGTGCAAACTGAGACAAGAGCGTATAGATTCACCCAGCACCCCCACTTGCTCGCACACTTCCTCTCTCTCACAAACACATTGAAAAGCAGCTGTGTGTTTATAGAAAAGCATTGAAGTTAACTCTGAGAAATCTGTTTTCATAACACAACGCTATCAATGTCGGAGACGAATATGTTAACGTAAGAATACAGCTGGGTTGTCGAGGTTGACACGCTGAACAAATCAATTGCACCCTCCTTCTCCCCAGCCACAGTTACACGGTAATTATGTGGGAAACACTGTACTGTGCATTTACAGATTTTTCTGGAGGTTTCTCTTAAAGCTAATAAGCCTGTTTCGTCCATGCTGGCATTTCACTGACTTGCTGCAACGTAACACCGGCCCCTGGCGATCAGATTGCCAATTGGTAATCTCAAGATCAGACGATATGAAAACAGAGACGATCGCCCGACCCTATACACAGCACTCTTTTTGCAGTTATGTAATCGTACATGACAACATTGCGATTGCAACTGCGATTAGATTAATCATGCAGCCCTACTAACTACCTAGGCATACACTTAGTTATCAGTTTTTTTCCTATACCTGAAGTGACTACTACGTTTCATCGGCCCTGTAATAGTCTTACCTTTGAGTTATAATATTCAGTTCATGTTCACAACACTGTGTTATGTAGACACAGTTTTGTCAACCACCATTTGCATGTGTGGAAGTGATTCAAATGTACAGTATCTGTTGTACCTACAGTATTTACAACTTACTTTTGTGTGTTTGACAGACTTCTCGGTGGGCTCTTCAACTGTCTCAAGCTCTGCACATCCCACTGAACTGCAAAGCCGCTCAGTCCACACACAGTGGGAGGACCCTTCACGGAATGATCATAATTATTGCAGGCCGGCCATCGGTAAAGATGTGCAGGATAAGGCAACTCAGTGTGATGGGATTGGGTACTTCATGCTTCAAAACGACTCAGATGCTTTGCTGTACACTGGGCTAACCCGAGATGTATTTAACATCCTTGTGTCAACGTTGGAAGGATACGCTAGCAATGTATTTACGATGTCGGTGCGGGATCAAGTTCTCTTGACGCTGGTGAAACTAAAGACCAACCGTATGATAGGTGATCTGAGCAGACAGTTTTGTGTATCACAGAGCATGACTAGCAAAATAATCTCATACTGGATTGACAAACTGGAGGAAGTTTTGCAACCTCTGATTCCGTGGCTTCCTAAAGAAACTATTGAGGCAACCATGCCTGAAGCATTTAAGAAGCACTTTCCCAATACAACATGTATCATAGACTGCAGTGAGATCCTTTTACAAAAACCTGATTCTACAGGGGAATCACGCAACCATGATTGTACATATAACACAGTGAAATACCTGGTAGCTGTTGCCCCATGTGGACTAATCATGTTTGTCTCTGGAGCATATGGAGGGCGATGCAGTGACCAATTCATAACCATGGTCTCTGGAATATTAGACTACATAAAGCCTGGAGATGAGGTCATGGCAGATCGAGGCTTTACCATAAAAGACTTGCTGTTTGAGAGAAAGATTCAATTTGTAGTGCCCTCTTTCAAAAGACAAGAAGGACAGACACATGAGGAATATGCGGCATGTAGTAAAGAAATGGCACACGTGAGGATTCATGTTGAAAAGGCACTCGGACGTTTGAAAGTTTACAAAATGTTGACAGAGGTTGTTTCTACTGCCTTGGCTCCAAAGATGAACAAGATTCTGAGAATATGTGCTGCTCTTGTCAATTTAGGGGAGGATGTCACTCGTGGTTCAAACTAACTCAGCATTTGAGAACCTCAAGAACCCTCAGGACTGTCAAAAGAAATGGTGCAGTACTGAAATGAAAATCTATAATGGTGGAAAAATGATGGGAACAAAACATGCTGGAAGTTATATTCATTATGTGAACATTCTTTGTATGTTTGTTCTGTTGTACAGAATGTGATTACTTCCGTACACCACAGCTTACCCAGGACCAAATAAAGATATTGATTTCAGTCCTTTTTGTGGTTGTTCTGGTGCATGTGGTTTAGTGCCACTGCTGTAAATGGTTATATTCTATAGTTATTATATTTTTTGTTCCATCTTATTGTTGATACATTTGTGGAGTTTTTTCTTATCCCTTTCTTTCGTTTTATACATTTTATACAGCCATCTGCATGGTCATATTTTTCATTTGTCACCTGTTAATTCATTTCTTCTATTCATTTCATAGATGTTTGCAATTGTCAGGTGTTATACAACAACGGTCCTTGTCACGTTACATCTTACAATGAATTTGTTTAAACTCTCAAGAACTTGTTTTGGAAGGTGGAGACCAATATGTAACGACTTTTAACATGTCAGGAGCTTTTTAAAGGTGCCATGCTGGTATGTGAATGTTTTGTACTTTTTATTTGGAGTAAATTATACTGTAGCAACCGTGTTGCATATCCTTTCGTTGTTAAAACAGAAAGTTAACAGCTGTAAAAGCATGTTTTTGCATAAATTTGAAATAAAGCTGATTTACATAGCGTGAAGGTATCAGAGATGTCAATGTCCATCCTTCCATCCATCGTCAACCGCTTATCCTGTGTACAGGGTCGCGAGATGTCAATGTGATTCTCTTAATGTATGGCAGATATTCATGGTCATGCCACATGTGCAGATGTGCAGTAAATGTTGCCCATGTTGCCTCAATGTCTTTCATATAGCTTAAACCATCCTCTAGCGTATTCATATACAAGCCGAGGTAGCACACATGAAAAAATGTAGCGCTTCACTTGCTCCCACACAATAGTCTCGTGATACTGCACTATCATGGAAACACGCTCAATAGGTGTCCATATAAGAATTGTGGCAGACTTTAGACCTGTACAAAAAAGTTAGGTTTTACTTGTATGTAATATTCCATGTTGCCAATTTTCTACAGCTGCAGGTCTACTGAATTTCTGAGAAAGCTGGTCAGTGAGTGAGGGCTGGAAATTTTATCTCAATAAGCACAGGTGAGTCATTGACTCCATCAGGCATTGCAGAGAGCCATCGTTCTTGGATATGTGCAACAGTGCCCTTGAGAGTAATGGTCATGCCTTGTTCTCTCAGTTGGTGGCAATGTGTTACTTCATTTTCTTTACTATAGTTGGTTGCGTAGTTGCCACGAATGGAGGCGTATATGTGTTCAAATAGAAATGTGTCACTTTTTGTGGCTGCATATATGGGAACCTTATTTAGCGGGCTTGCTGTAAGTCTTATTTCCCTGCACTTTGCTCCTGTGTAGTTGAGCTGCTAGTGCATCACAACATTTGCCTGGTAGAAGTCTTGCATGAGTCACAGGTAAAATGGTGGGGCTGAAAAATCAACCGTGCTATTTCTCCTGCTAGGTTGTTCTGCTGATGGTAAGGCATATAATGAAGTAACAGATATGTGCAAGGTTGCAAATTGGTTCAAGGTGAATAAACTCTTAATATTAAGAAAACTAATTTTACCATTTTTGTGGCTACAAACAAGACAACTCAAAGATAAATATAGATGGTGTACCCATCAGTCATATCTCTTAATAGCATCAAAAATATTACGTTTCTCTGTAAAGTGGGTACCATTATTAAAACGTTCCCTGACACTTTATTATAGCTTAACATATCCATATCTTTGCTATTGTATGCGCCAACACATTTATGCCACTTTTTTTTCTTCAGTAAGGGTATTTTACAGTTGCTAATTTCCTAGCTTTAAAAATGTTATCCGTATTTGACATCAATGGATTGCAAGTTTGTTTATAAAGCCGTCCATAAGACTGAAAGTTTGCCTAATTTTTTCTGGAAATATATTTACTCAATTTTCCTCTTATCAGAGCAGACAGTCTAGTCACCTTCACATTCCCCTTGTTAAAAGCCGTCACAATCAGTTTTCTGTAAAATATGTAGGAAACATATTGTGGAGCTCCCAGGTCCACCCATGTCAGTGTTTAACAAACATCTGAATAACACCTTTTTGGATAATCCTAATACTGTCATTTAGTTTAGGTTATTTCTTGGAGTTATTTGTTTATTCTTTTATGATTATATAGGTATATATTATATATATTACTTTTCTTATCTGTGTGACACTTCTTGTTACAGCAGGATATATATTTTGAAACTAATTATTTGTGTTCAAAACTGTAATCAGTTAAGTTTATTTTTATTTGATTGTTCTAATCATACCCGCGATAATCCTTTAAGGGTTTTGGACTCCCTTGCATATTCTGTTATTTATATTGTTTATGTTATGTTTTGTTATATGCTATAAAGTAAATCAATCAAATATAAAAAGAACACTTTTTACAAGGTGTTCTTGAGGACAAATAGTGGTTGAATGCAGGCTTCGTCTACACTGTCTCTGAAGTATTGGTGTGACAGATGATGTGGGGTGTTTGGAGTGACTGAGTCACTACAGCCCTACAGTTCATGTTGTATTGGTGGAAGTAATTCTGACTAAGCTGTTTAGGCTCAAGGTTCTTTGATGTCCCTGCAAGAAACCTGCACTGCTCATTTGTACATGCAAACCCTGTCTTTCACTGACCACCGCATTCTGAACCAGCAATGAGGACATTAATAGTATCTTCATAATTTCTCCACATACTATCCATTGCTATTTAAACAGCATGAACACAAGCTTATATCCTTTTCTGCAATAAAATTCAATTAATTTGTTTCTTTGTAAGAATATTTGATTATTCCACTGATTAAACAATTAATTAGGATATATTTGGGTTTATGAATAACAACCAGAAACAGTTTATTGGCAAGTAGGTTTTCAGATACAAGATATTTGCTTTGGTATTTTGGTGCATAACAATAAACAAAGTGGGAGAAAATAAAAAAAAGATTAAGGACTACAAAAGTCAAGAAGTATAAATAGAAAACAGAAAACTTGACAATGAAAAAATATGAAAAACATTTATAAAAAACGTATATATGTTTTCAGAATAATAGAGCTCGACAGATTGTGCCAGAATGTGCAAAATACTGACCATGTAATGTGCAAAAATTCACAGTATAAAGTATAAGAAATATGTGCACTGTACAGAGAAACTAGTCCAAAAGATGTGCGTTAATGTAACGCATTGAGACAGATGTAGAGACTGTATGTTCATGTACCGTGTTATGTCCATGGGTGGGGGATAAGAGTAAGTGTCAGTCGGGGCCCCGGGCCTTGTTGATGAGGCCAGCTGCAGACGAGAAGAAATTGTTCTTGTGGCATGAGGTTTTGGTCCTACTGGACTGCTTCCTCCTGCCGGAGGGGAGTGTCTCAGAGGGTTTGTGTCCAATGTAGGAGGGGTCATCTACAATCTTTACTGCTCGCCTCACAGTCAGAAGGCATGCAGGTCCTGGAGCTTTGGCAGATTGCAACCAATCACCTTCTCAGCAGAGCGAAAGATATGCCAGATGGTGATGGAGATGAGGATGGACTCAATGATGGCAGCATAAAAGTGTCATTGACCTTGGCATGTTGAATTTCTTCAGCTGCTACAGGAAGTACATCCTCTGCTGGGCTTTCTTTGAGCTCCCACTCGAGGTGCTGGGTGATGATGGTGCCCAAGAAGTGGACAGGTGACAGGGGTGGGTGAGACTGGGTTTGTCCTGAAATCCACAACCATCTCCAATGTCTTACAGGTGGGGTAGGCAATTTATTTCATAAGCATCTTTTGTTGTATTTTCTGAAATTCTCTTTACATCCTGACAGTAGTCAATAAATCAAATGCTCTGACACAAAAATGACAAAAACAATCTGTGCTCTATAAGATCGGCGAGAGAGAGATGAGCCCAATGAGGGTGGTGTCATCCCTGACCTTCAGGAGTTTGACGGACTGATGACTGGAGGTGCAGCAGTTGGTATACATGAAGAATAGTAGAGGGGAAAAGGAATGCAGCCTTGAGGGGAATGGTGCTGATGGTCAAGCAGGAGTCAAAGAGGTGTTTTCCTGTCAGACAGGATGTCTGTGATCCACTGGCAGGTGGTGCATGCATGGACCATGACATGGTCAGAGTGTGTCAGTGCTTGATAGAACAATAACTAAGGAGTCCGGATTTGTCTGCTCTACACACAGTATCTGGTTGATGTGCTTGCGCTGTGTCTCCTGCACAATGACTTCCCTAACCCGTTAATGCAGCCAACTGTTTCCACGACTCCAGTCTCTCGCAGCATTACCCATGCCATATGTTTATTTTGATTGACATTCTGGCTGGGCTATACTGCTGCCTTCAGAAATGTAGGAAAGTTGAATGAAAGTTGTCATAGCCATGAAAGAAAAAAATATATATTGCTGGATGTTCTTTTTCGCAGCCCTTGTGAGGATATTTCACAAAACTAAGTCTTTTTCTCGAGGCATGGACAAAATCAGAACAACTCAAAGTAACTTAACCAAATGTGGCTTTTGGTGAACTGCTGGTCATTTGAGCCCACTTGTAAAATGAGGAGAGATGAGATTGTTTGAGAAATTGTAGAAATTTTGACTTTTTGAAAATGTTGCTATAACACTGACAAGCAACAATATGGGCCAGTGACGCCCTATACTGACTGACTGAGTGACTGACATCCTACACTTATTGACTATACCAGACTGATAAGAAAAGCATGTTGGTTTATTTTGGTGTATAATGAACTGTTTTTGAAGATGGGTTACAGAGAGATGACTTGATTCAAGGCAAGTCATGTGCTGATCAAAGAGAGCTCTTACTCCTGTTATTGCAACTGGGTCCTTTCACAGGAATGTGTTTGACCTTAGTGGTCAAACTATGAGGGTTAAATGCCTACTTTATCTGAAAGCACTGATAGTAAATATATACAGAGTGAGTCCTGTGAAACCCTTTAATAATCAGTCGCTGGTATTACTCATGCAATATCCATAACTGGTTTGGCAGGGCTGCTATCCCTTGTGTTAGGCTGTATAAAATGGCAAATGATAACATGTCCATTGTTTCTGTGATGCACTGCAGCCTGGCCACCCAAGTTGACAGTTCCATCATTTTAAAAATTGCAAGAATGGCTCCCTTACTGCAGGAGCAATTTCACTTGTAATGATGGTTGGGCAATTTTGCCATCTATTCACTCTACAAAGTAAAATACACAAAGGCTGCCAAAACTAAGTTTACATGAAATAAAGAGAACTCTGGCAGCACTTACTGTTGTGAAAAAGATATGTTTGTGTATGTAAACTCTATCTAGTGTTAAAATGATCCCTCACTTGATTTGTAAGCCAACAATAAATTTAATTGATGTAGATACATTAAAGCATTAGATTAAGTTGAACCTTACACTTCCGTTAGAACTCAATTAGTCAACAGAACTTAAATAATGCCATTTGTGTGGTGCTTTTACCAAAGCACTTTACAATACCATAAATGCATAATACTACACTGTTAGTTGTTTTGTATCAGTAATTATGCTCCATGGGTTACATACAAGTATGTGTACGTGTGTGGTATAATATCTTACAGTAAGGATGCAAGCCTATGACAAAGATACACAGACACAAATATCTGTACAGAATGTATCCAGTCTTC